CTATTTTCCACAGATTTTCTGCTTCCTCCCTCCCTTCTCTCCACAGATCTCTGAGGTAATAGTTCTAATAACACGCAGTGCCAGGCTACCAGCTGCTTTGACTGGAACCTCAATGCCTTTGAACACCCCAATGTTCCTCACTCTCCACAGCGCGTCCACAGGGCGTCTTTCCCACTGTTCACCACGGCCCAAAAACACGTCAGAAGGAAGTTTGGCAGGAGAGATGCCGTATATAATGAAAGCAGCAGTCAGGGAAAAGTGGGGTGAAAGGGCTTGCAACCAGTCTTCAAACTGGCCCTAGAAACCCTTAGCAAACTGGCAGGACCACAGGAGATGGGTCAGAGTCTCCTCCTCACTACAGCCCACCCTCAAACAATTAAGTAAACAACTATTTACATTAGATGTCATAGTAACAATTTCCCATAAGCTGAGTGATGTAGTAGTCAGTGAGTGGGCCCTCAGATGATCTCTACATTGGCTACAGTTCCCAGCCTGCACCATGTCTACGCTTCGTCACCTGGTGAGGGCGCTACCATGCGTTTCATTTTTTAAACCCGACGAAGTTTATTGTGAGTTTATTGTGGAGTCTACAGAGGCACAGTCAGCCAAAGGCTCGCCTTTCTTACGGTGGAAATTCGCAAGCTACACCTGCTACTGTATGTATACTGTACACTATTTTAGTTCTCCTCTTTCCTCACTTCCCCGCTCACTATAGCGGATACTCCTAGAGCTCCCAAGTGTCATTTCATTTAATGTGTCACACTTGTTTTCTTAATTTGTTTTTGTTTGGTGTTGTGTTTCACTTACAAATTGTACGGCAGCTTGTAAATAAGCATGCACACTCTTACACACCAATCAGACGTAACTCTCTGAAATCCTCTCTTTGACAAAGGTAAAGAAACGTAAAGCACAACAAAAGAGAAGGTCCTTTGGAAAAGCAGAATTGTAGACTGAAGGAGACTAAAAAATGAATAACTTGTAATTGTATCTCAGCCAATTAAAATGAAAAACAGACATAGAATAAAAACGAAGAAAAATGGCTCAACATTTTTTTAACTGTAAAAAGATCTCTTGGCTTCTCCTTCAATTTAACAGGGCTCATTACTTGATTTTTGCTAAGTTTGCACACTTATAGGGAAGCAACACCAACAGAACAGGACATGTAAGAATCATGTTTACTGCCCAAGCTGGTGAAGGGAGGAGTGAAGAGATGTTGAGGGTAAAGACAGTCTTGCTGTCTGGTGAGTCTTTGTAGAGGTCTCAGTCTGTATATAAAGGTGAAGGGAGGTGTGTGTGTATATCAGTGGGTGGAGGTGTTTTGCATGATGTCTTTTTAGAAGCTTTAATTGAAGTTAGATGATATTGAGACAGGAAGAGTGACAACACCAGTCTGTCTGTCCACCAGGGATGACATTTATTCAACTTTTATTGTACATCTTATTGTAATTGTCTTAGATAACAATAATTTAGCAGAGGGTACTCATGTCCAGAGTGGCTAGAGAGTGGCCTGTCCATCAGGAGGCCAGCCCCATCAGAGCCTCTCCTAAACCCCTGACTGTAGGACCCCTTTTTCTGATGTCCTTCTGATGACAGGGGGCATGAGGAGGACAGAGAGCGAAGTAGTGACAGAGCTCAGACAGTGAATGTCCTTACAACAGGCTGTACACCCTAACTACTGGATCCCCTGTCTTCATACATCCATCTATATGTGCACAAATAATTAAATTGCATGGTATCAGTAACATTGTTTCACATTTCTGTGATTTCATTCTGAATTTATTTGACCAAATACGGTTCATGCATTGCATTTTATTTCACACACTTAAATGTAAATGGATTTTACACATTTGTCAAAAAAAAAGTCAAATCATATCATTACGAAATTCTGTACCTTTAGGTATTGTCTGGACTTTTGTTAGGTTTATAGCAACCCCTGTAAAATGGAGGGTAGTGTGTGATGGTCAAAAGAGTCTGCTTTCCTACAATGATTTGATCTTGATGTGCTGAAAAACTTACTTCAAACCAGACTTAGTTTTTTCACTTTAGTAAAGCAGACCATTACCCAGCTGTCAGCTAACTTTGATGCTCTGCTGTGTTTTTGTACAGCTCTGCTATACAGTCCTCTCACTGTGGGGTTTGGCACAGTAATACACAGCTGAGTCTTCAGGTCTCAGCCCTGTGAGTTGTAGATACACCATGTTCTTGGGATTGTCTCTGGTTATTGTGATCCGGTCTTTCACAGCCTCAGAATATACGGTTTTGCTGGCATCATACCATATAGCTCCCATCCAGTCCAAAGGCTTTCCCTGGGGCTGTCGAATCCAATGCATGCCATAGCTGCCGAAATTAAATTCAGATCCCTTACAGGAGAGACTGAGCGTCTCTCCAGGCTTTTTCACCTCTGGACTGGAAGGAATAGATTCCAGGCCACATTTTACACCTGTTGAGCAAAATAAAAAAGACATCAAATTCATATGAAATCATCTGTATGCAAGCAAACTCAGATGTTCTCAACTAATGAAGGAGTAGTGCGGTTTTAAGGACTCACAAGGCAGACACAGCACGATCAAGAGCCACTTCAGTGCTGCTGTCATCCTGAAGGCTGTGAGCTGAGTTCAGTTCAGTACTAACAGCAGCTCCACATAAATATGGGGTCTCAATTTGCATGTGTGATCCTCCCTGCAGGAGCAGGATGTAATTCTGATTGACCATTCTTCAAGTGCCCTGCCTCTAGTGGAATGGGAAACAAACAAGAAACTGCTCAATACTTTTATTGGTTCCAGTAGATCACAGAAGCACAGTTATCTGACAAGCTTAATGTGGAATGTGCAATCACTATAAATCATGTTTTTACAGTGAACAAACCTGTAGCTCATATCAGCATTTCCCTATACACTTATTATTATTGTATAACTGGGGGAACAAGTATTGTCTTTCTTCTTATGGTACCAATTTCTGTAAATTCAGTATTTAATTTAATCCTGGGAATGTCATGTAGTCAATATTTGAGATTTAAAACTAACATACCTTTATATTCTCCTCTTCTACTCTTCCATAATGTATTAACTCTCATAAAAATATGAAATATAAATTTCAGAAATATATAAATACAAAATATGCTAAATCTGTAGACAATGACAATAGCCCAATTAAATAATTAGTTTAATTAGGAGCTTGATAACTGTGACACAGCGTCAGGGCTCACGCTTGTGATTCTCTATTGCTTTTAATGAACGTTCTGTTTCACGTCTCTATAGGCATCATCATGGCAGTTTAACCACATTCTGACATTAGGGTCTCAGGGGAAATGTTATTTCTGCACAGCTTATCCCAGCTGGATTGTTAATTATTCAATTGAACCCTGAAATTCAACTGCAAATGTATTTTAATGATCTTATTGAGGTCAATTCTGAAACTGAACAGGTCACCTATAGAAATATGCAAATATGAAAGATGAAAAATCTGTAGACAATGATAATGGTGCAATCAAATGATGATGATGATGATTATTATTAATAATAATAATAATAATAATAATAATAATTCCTTACACTTATATAGCATTTCTGGACACTCCACCCAAAGTGCTTTACAGGTAATGGGGACTCCCTTCCATGTGAAGCGTCCACCTGGCTGAAACAACAGCAGCCAGAATGCGCCAGTACACTCACAACACATCAGCTCACATCATCAGGGGAGGAGAGCAGAGTGATGAAACCAGTTTTAAAGATGGGGATTATTAGGAGGCCGTGATTGGTAAAGGCCAATGGGAAATTAGGTCAAGGTGCCCCCTACTCTTTTCAAGAAATGCCCCAGGATTTTTAATGACTACAGAGAGACGGTTTTACACCTTATCTGAAGGAAGGCGCCTTTTTACACTATAGTATCCCTGTCATTACACTGGGGCATTAGGACCCACACAAACCACAGGGTAAGTACCCCCTACTGGCCCTGTAATACCTCTTCTAACAGCAGCTTTAGTTTATCACAGGAGATCTGCCATCCAGGTGTTGACCATGCTCACACCTG